TTTTTTTTTTTTTTTTTTTTTTTACAAATTCTGCACTATCAATAGTAAAGGACAAGATAGATTAAGAAAAGAAGGGAGAAAGCAAGACAGCAAGAAACGTTTCACGTAAAGTTGAGTAGGAGAGGGTTTATAAATTGGTGCAGTAAGAGCAATAAACATCTTAGATGACAAAATATTGGTTTGATAATACCACAGTTTGCTGAATTATAATTACTTTAAATTGGGCAGACGTAGACGAAATTTTCTTAGATTTATATTTGCATACGTATCAAAGTGTAATTGGTTTTTGGAGCGATTTATTGAACGATCCATGATCAGCTAAACAGAAAAAAAAGGGGCTTAAAACAATTAGGATATATAAAGTTATCAGTTTGTAGTTCACAAAGTATTTCACTTTTAACCAATTGCCATTCTTTTGTCGCCGGTTTTCTGACGTTGTCATTTTGATAAAAGCCTCTATCTATGACGACGATATAAAAATGTAATGCAAAATTTTTCCTTTATTTTTTTTTGTGACGCACATTCTATTCAAAAAATATGCAAATTATTGTCACGTTTACTACACACCAAAAATTATCATTTTTTAACGATTAATTGTTATGATCAATTTTTCGTTTTACCTCTGTTTTTTTTTCTCGTCTGTTGTTTATATTTTATCTGACAGACAAAGCTTTTTTACAAATGATTTTTCATTTATGGATATGGACTAAATTAATGTCATTTTGAACAACAGTTTAGGAGGTTTAAACAGCTAAACAATAGAGAAGTAACAATTTTAAAAAAATGGCTCTTTGCTGTGTAAAAGTTTTTAAGATCAAATGAATTTTGAAAAAAATTAAACGGGGATCAAATAGACAAAAAAGTTGGATAGTTGGCGAGAGGGGACTGAGGAATGGGAAAAGGGAAAAAAAAGGGAAACTACCGATATCCCATTTGACAAAGTTCAAAGGATGCAATGTGGAAGCGGCATATCCAATGTCGTAATTTTGGAATTTATTTTTGTTTTTTTGCTGATGTTTTCGGTAAAATTTTAAATTGGAGCTATAAAGTATTCAAAAAAATTTGTAAAAGAAGCTTTTTTTTCAGTTTTTCAATGTTTTTTAAGGTAACATCAGTTTTTTTATCAAAATAAAGAAAACGGAGAAAAAAGAAGAATCAGTACAAGAATAAGCTTTTTCTGCTTTACTTGTCAACTGTTTTCGAACACAGAAAAAACTTTTTCTTTTTAAATGAAAGAAATATATTTTGCAAAAAAGTTTTAAAAACATAGAAACAGTAATTGAATTAATGGAAAAACAATTTTTTTTTCTTTCAGCAGTTCATTAAAAACTTTAGATTCTTTTCTTTTTTTTTTTTTGTATTTGCTATTATTTGTAGATTACTTTCGTGAATGAATGAATGCATGTTTTTGTTTTGTTTTGTTTTCTTTTTCTTTATTTAAGGTTCTTGGCTCTGAAACAGAATGGCATTTTGTGCAACCAGCATTGTCACATGCTCGAACCAAAAGATCAATTGCACATCACAAGAAGCTTCTGAAAGACGATGATGTGAGTTTGGTTACATCTGTTTGAATCTCTTTTTCTTCCTTTTTTCCTTCCAACCTTCGTCACCCCCCCACTCCCAAGTAAGAAAGAAAAATCACTTAGTCAGTGGAAAATTGAAACGATTAAGTAATGGACAGCTTTTGAAAAAAAAAGCCATCTGTAATCAGCATCAATGATTGTCGTCAATTCCTTCAGCATCATCTTCTCCTACCTTCCTGTTTGTTCCACTTATGATTTAGCTAATTTTTATTCAAGCTTAACAAAAACTTGATTAGCAGTCAAATTAAAGAAGAAGGTTTGCATAGAATACCGGAATATAAGACTATGGTTGTGGTAATAATTAATTTGATGAATGTTTGAAATGTCTTATTCGGAAGACTTCAACAATAAAAACATAATCTGTTTGTTTGGCTTGTTATCCTCAATTTAAAATCCTGATTAGATGACTTTTTTTTTCATTGTTTCTTGCATTTTTTCCTGTGTCCCCAAAGCTGTGTTGGCAGGGAGTTGTGCTGTTTTTTTCGCAGATATTCTTAAAGAACGGAAATGCTAAAGGAGAAGAAGAAAGCTGTATACGTCTTCAAAAAAACAATGTTTTTTTGTCTTATTGGTTTGTCCTAAGAGGAAGAAATATCACTTTTTAACTGTTGATTAAAAGTTTTCTTTGAAGAGGAAAGCCAAATAAGATGAAGTCTTAATGTCATTTTCACAGGCAGCTGATTTTTTTTGTTCTTTAGGTCGTCTTCGTTGAACAATTACAAGGATTTAAACGTACTAAACGGGGATATAGGTGAATTTTTTTAAACATTTTTCATTCCTTATTAATTTTTGCTTCATTGTTTTTTAGTATTTCACTTGGTGTCTTTTAGACAGAAATGTTTCTTGTTATTGCTAAAGGAAATTTTGTGAAACTTTTTCTTTAGTAAACGTCATAAGACGAATGGTTTTAGGCTGCTGGAGAAGCAGATGAATGGTAAAATGATTCCGGCAACTGACGATTCGCCAACAGATCCGCTGTATCCATATCAGTGGTATTTGGTGGGTTTTTTGTTCCTTAGCAGTTCAGTTCTGTTTCTACAGTGTTCGTAACTTAGAAGCCGACTAAGCGGCAATTATTTGTAGTTGGCTAAGTAGGCTGAGTTGGAAAATTTGGGAAAGTGTAAAAGTACAAGTTCAGAATATTCAACGAAAACTCGCTAATAAATTATATCGATATCTGCACTTTGATTAATATTCCGCTTGAATATTCTTGTTATTAAATGGTGTTTAAAGCAGAGGTAACTAAGGAAACCACCTTTTTTCCACGATTCATTTCTTGTGTCAGTCTAAAAGGAAAATTTTTTTCTTCAACTTTATCACTTCTTAGTGTATGGAAGTTGCTGACGCAGTCAGTGCTACCGATTAGTTCACTTTCAACACACAACGACGTACATTCACAGCAACAATAATTCCGCCAATCACGGAAAGAGAAAAAAGAAAAAACTTTTTTTTTTTTGGAAAATAAAAAGCAATATGATAATTTTTTTGTTTTTTTTAATGATTTTTTGTCTTTGAACATTTATTGATTGTTTGCTATTTCATTTTTCTTATATTTATTATAAGAAATTTTTTTTAAAAATAAACTGTGAACACATAAAAAAGAGAATAAAATTTAAAATTTTCTAGGGATTAAAGTATCAGTCTAAAGAACATGGAAAAAAAGCACAATTAACGCTTTACTTTATGGTAGACTAAGTTAAAATTTATTGAATAAAGTCAGCCTTTTTAATTCTCCTTTTTTTATATTTCCTCTGCAAAAAAAAAGACTTCTCTTATTACATTTTTTGCAAGAATAATTTATTCCACAAGTAAAACTAAAGTTTACACGCAAAATCTTAAACCCAGAAGTTATGAAGACGGATAATTGATGAAGGCTTCTCCTGTTTGATAAACTGACGGTAAGAAAAGTATGAGGAAGAACCGTATGATTAAATTTATAAGATTTATGTAATAATATTACACATTATTCCAACTTTCATAAAGTACTTCCTGTTTGAGGGCAAGACCGGGGGCTACAGGAATTTAAGAATGGTGTATAGCAAGTG